TAAAGATGTGGAGAAAAGAGAACCCTGGTGGTGGGAATGTAAACTGGTGCGGCCACTAAGGAAAACAGTATGGAGGTTCCTCAAAAAATTAAAAATAGAAATTCTGTAAGACCCAGTAATCAAGGTTCACCCAAAGAAAGCAAAGACACAAATTCAGAAAGATATATGCAACCCATGTTTACTGCAACATTATATATAATAGCCAAGATATGGAAGCTAGCTAAGTGCCCACTGATGGATAAAGAAGATGTGGTATACATTTATAATGGAATATCACACATTCATAAAAAATTTTAAAAAAAGAATGAAATTGTTGCCATTTGGGACAACTGGATGGACCTAGTTGTTAAATGAGGTAAGCCAAACAAACAAAAAAAAGACAAATGCCAGAATAAAAACCATAACACATACCAAAAACAAACAAAAACAGAAATAGACTCATAAATACAGAGAACAAACTGGTGGTTGTCAGAAAGGAGGGGAAAGGAGGAATAGGTGAAATAGGTGAAAGGGCAGAAAAAGGTACAAACGTTCAGCATAAATGAATTAGGTCATGGGGATGAAACGTACAGTATAGAGAATACAGCCAGCAATGTTATAATAACTTTGTACGACAGACGGTCACCACACTTATTGTGGTGAGCATTTCATAATGTATATAAATGTCAAATCATTATGTTGTCTACCTGAAACTAATATAATATTGTATGTCAACTCTACTTCAATTAAAATATATATACAAAATAACCCAAAATGAATTAATAGATACAGAAAACAGACAAGTGGTTGCCAGAGCATGGGTTGAGGGGGTGTGGAATGGGTGAAAGCTGTCAAAAGGTATACATTTCCTGGGATGTAATGCTGAGCATAGTGATTATAATTAACAATACTGTAAGATATATCTGAAAGTTACTAAGAGAATAGATCTTTAAAGTTCTTATCACGTGAAAAAATATTTCTGTAACTGTGTATGGTAACAGATATTAACTACAGTATGGTGTTGATCATTTTGCAACCTACACAAATACTGAATCATTATGTTGCATACCTGAAATTAATATAATGTCATATGCCAATTATATCTCAAAAAAACAATTTCTTTAATTAAAAAAAAATTTTACATAACTATTGAAGTCTGAAAAGATATTAAGTCAGAATTCTTTCAGCTTACATTACTCTTCTCTCAATATTTTAAACATTATGCCAAAGATAAGCCTCTTAGAAACTCTACTATGATCATTTTAGAAGAGAAATTCTTAACTACAATGTTTCTGAGCTAATCTAAATTGATCTACTTATAGAAGGATAGGTAATGCTCTAGGGTTTTTTTATTTTTGTTTTTGTTCTTTCTTAAATTGATCTATGAAGACTCCAAAAATCACCACGTAATAACTTTTTAAAATGTCAGCTTGGCTAGGCTAAAGTGCTCAGTTACGTAACCAAACTCTAATTTAGATGTTGCTATGAAGGTATTTTGTAGATATAATTAAATCCTCTAATCCATTTAAGTAAAGGAGAGATTATCCCAGATAATCAGAGTGGGCATAACTGAATCCTCTGGAACGCCTCTAAAAGCAGGCTGAGGTTTCCCCAAGAGGGAAAAAAAACTCTGCCTGTGGACATGGCAGAATTTTTGCCTGTACCCATGAAATTTCTACCCTGGTGATCTTCTCTTCCTGTCAGCTAGACATCCTGATTTCAGACTTCTTTTGTCAGTCCCCCACAATCATGCAAAACAACTCCTTGTAATAAATTTCTGAAGAGATACAGATATATATACATACATATATATCTCCTACTCCTTCTGCCTCTTTCATTGCACTCCCAAATTACATACACTTCAGTATAAAATATGAATTCAGAAGTAGTACTTCTTACATTCAATTGGGAAAAAATTTAAATGTGCAGACATATGGATGGGCTTACATAATCCTTTTAAAATCTGCAATAAGTCAGTGATAAACAATGGCATAACACTAAATCATCTAACAGGAGCTACTATTGTTCTACAAGAGCAATGCAAAGGACTAATCATTTGTATCTAGATCACAAAGAATAGGTCTGGAAAGGGATCCCCGGGTGGCGCAGCGGTTTGGCGCCTGCCTTTGGCCCGGGGCGCGATCCTGGAGACCTGGGATCGAATCCCACATCGGGCTTCTGGTGCATGGAGCCTGCTTCTCCCTCTGCCTGTGTCTCTGCCTCTCTCTCTCTCTGACTTTCATAAGTAAATAAAAATTTAAAAAAAAATTCTTTAAACCTTTTAACGTTGGAGATCCTTATATAAGAAGCACTAGGACACACACAAAGACTACTACGAATTTTCTCTAGTACAATGATCATAACAGTCCACTTTTTTCTCTTTCTTTTTTTTTTTTTTTCCATTTGGAAGGTTGCTGAACACCCTTTAAAAATGAATTCTGTATCCTGAGTAATGGGGTGGCACTACCATCATACTAGTTAAGGGGCTACTACCTAAAGGGCATTTCAGCATTAGAGCCACATACAAGATGGTCTAGAAACAAAGATGAAGACAATCATAATCAACAATATCAGAATCTTACCAGAGAGAACACACACTTTATCCACACAATAAGGTACCCAAGAGGTGCATTTCAACTTGACACATACCGGCTGTTCTTTAATTCTGATCAAGCAAAATTCCCCGCAAGCCTCAGCAGTAGCAAGAGCAGCAGTAGCAATTCAGTCTAGTACAGAATTGTAGCCTTACATAACACTCACTTTCCCAGGAAGTCCCAAACAAACCCCCCTGACGGTGCAGGGACAGAAACCTGGCGTGGAAGGTACAGATTGCGGGATACTGGCTTTCTGAGAAACAGCATGGCCAAGAGGGGACACACACAGAAACACACAGAGACCAAAACCCCAATGGATTAGGACCATGGTAAGACAAATCAAAAGAAAGGTGACAAAATTCAAATGATAAATTATGGGGAGACAGACACCCACACACAGGAAACAGTGGAATGGCAACACAAGAAGCAAATGGTTAGTAAAAAACACAGCAGCCACACACATGCACCTCAGTAGTACATATGGGAACAAAAGGCACAATATAATCTTAACTGTCATTAACTATTATTTATATCTTAAATAGTATAGCTGGTCAACAAATTACAAAGCAGATAGCAAAATGGAGTTTTAAACTTTCTCCTTTTTGGTAGCCAAGAAACTTTGTGCCAAATCCTAAAACAAAATTACAATGCTACTGGCCAGAGGCTAAAACTGTAGAGCACTTTTCAACCTTCTCAGTTAACATTCCATGGAAAGAATAGATACCTTACAACTTTTTCAAAAATGTGAGAAATACAGTGGTCAATAAAAGCAATTGGTTGTGCTTTGGGTATCATATATAGATTTAATCCCATTTCTTAGTCTCTTTTAAGTCACAACCAACTCAAGGAATCAGTAGTAGGTCCAAAAATGAATCGAAAAGTTTTTCAAACAAGCTGCCTGGAATGACAAGCAATAATTTCAATGAAGACTTCTAATATAAGAAAACAAACTAAAAAATGAAACTTGATCAAGGAATTTCTCTTCTAAAATATTAAAATATTTGGCAGGAAGTCACTAATTCATCAAAAGTATTACATTTTAAAACTTCTACAGCACTACCGCTGATTTCAGGCCAACACAAATGCAGAAATGCATGTGTTCATGTGAATATGCAAGTGTGTCTGTGTGCATGCGTGCACGCATGTGCGTGCTAGAGGGAAAACTGAAGCACAAACATGAGAAAAGGCATACAAAAATACAATAATCTAATCTTGAGATTGGTAGTTTCTTAAATCTAACCTAAAGAAGTCTATCCATTCATCTTATCCAGAACCAGAAAATATTGTTCATATGAACTCTGTTCGAGTTCATATCAAAGTAAGAGCAATCTAGTTATGTGGTCAGTCTACATTATTCACACTTTCACTATAGTGAAGAAAACCTGTGAGGATTAGACTTCCTTGTTTTAGTTTCTTGCAGTCAAAATTCTATGGGTACAGAAAAGGAGAAAAATCAATTCCAGAGGGGAGTATCAAGTCTACTTGTCACCCCAAAATTTTAAACTTAATAAACTTATGAAAGTCATCTCATATCTCCTAATCTTCAAGAACATAAAAATAGAATATTCCTAGGAATCAGCTCCAAGAAACGACATAGGCTAATGATTTCATTCTGTCACTGTTGTCTCTGATTATTTAGAAGAATATAGGTGATTGATGAAGTTCTACTAGAACTACTTCAATGTACTTGTAAATTTATGTTAAATACATGCTCTAAAAGAAGAGGTCAAAAGACATATACATAATATTTAGTATAAAACATTCTAATTTAAAAAAAAAAACAGCAGAAAATTCCAACAGAGTCGTCTGGCTACATCTGTAAACACAGCTCATTTTATAGAATTCAAAGTCAGAGACCCATAATAATTATAACCAAGTCTCTTAAATTATCCCCACAATGTCCCTTCTTCTAAATTTGACCTGTGCACTGATGTAACAGCCTGCTTCTCCACAATACAAACTGTGTAAAGTCTAAAAATTCATAGCCAAAAGGAGCATCAGGCTCAATGAAAAAGGTCTAAGCCAATGAAAAAACATTAATTACCTCCTTGAAGTTGAGGTTCATTTGCTCTGTAGATAATAAGTAATTAGAGAGCAAGTAGCAATTTGTACCCTCCTGATTAGCTAGTAGAAAGCTTTAATTTCTCCACTGATGAAAACTTTCTCACTTTCCAATCAATGATGTTGATGTCCACAGCTTCCTAATACATCCCCATTCTATGCTGCCTTTCAAATGTTACAGCAATGCATTTACAATGACTTAGAATAAAAAGTCTTTTAAAAAAATAACATAAGCATTCTAGAATCTAAATAAATCCCAAGAAGCAGATACACTAAACAAGTATGCCCCCAAAAGTATACAGTTTTAAAACCATACTTTAACCTTTCTAACATAGTAAGTCCACCATTCAGCTATCCTATCCTTACCTTTCCAACTCTGCAATCTTCTTATCTTTGTCATTCTTCTCATTTTCCACCTCCTTCAAGATTTCCAAGAGACGGTCAACTTCTGCCTGGGCCTTGCTAGATTCATCTTTGTACCTGGAAATCTCTCTCTCCAATTGCTGTATTCGGTCACTCATCTCTGGACTGGCTCTGGCTTCCAATGTTGCCTCATGTGCCTACAAAGAAAAGTGTTCAAATTCTATCAGATACATATACTGGCAGTGGGCAAATCATGTCCCAAAGGACTATCTATATTTCAAATTAAATAGATCATTATCAAATATGTACTAGCTAGTCTTTAATTTATGAAGTTTTTCTCTACTTAAATATTACATAGACAAAACATTAGTAATAAAATGAGAAAAGTTATCATGGATTTCAAACGGATTTGTGTTTAGATGTATAACTCTGAATATCAGGCCAAAAATCATCATATAACAAGACATGTTTTTCTGAGTCTGAGACATACAAACAAGCCATGAGACTATTATTGATCTACTATTGATCTCTTCAATCTTTCTAAAAAAGGCATCACCAGAAATTCACTGCTCCTGTTACTATAACCCATGCCAATGCTGAAATCAATTCCCACTTGATCCTTCCCTTCCCTTTTCTTATATACTGCTTTACCAAGCATGTATGAATCACATGACCTGGAGCAAACAATCATATAGATATGACAAATGTGACACCATAAAAAAGAAGGTAGGTTATGGGACACCTGGGTGGCTCCGTCAGCTAAGTAGCTAACTCTTGGCTTCAGCTCAGATCGTGATCTCAGGGTCATGAGATTAAGACCCACATCCAGGTCCACACTCAGCATGGAATCAGCTTAAGATTCTCTCCCTCTGCCACTCCTCCACTCTCTCTCAATCTCTCTAATAACTAACTAAATCTTAAAAAAAAAAAAAAAAAAAGAATTTGGGCTAAGAAAATGGCTATCTGCACACAGGTACCTTCCTAAGATAAGGATTCAGTATTTTACAAGATACAAAGTCAGAAATCAACAATCCCATTTAGAACCAGGAAAAAATTTTTATTCAGATTCCTGTTGCAAGGTGGCTCAGTGGTTGAGCGTCTACCTTTGGCTCAGGTTGTGATCCCGGGGTCCCGGATCAAGTCCCACATCGGACTCCCTGCAGGGAGCCTGCTTCTCCCTCTGCCTGTGTCTCTGCCTCTCTCATAAATAAACAAACAAATAGATAAACAAACAAATAAATAAACCTTTAAAAAAAAGAATCCTGTTGCAAATGTAACTAATACCTTCAATGTATTCTGGAATGCAAAGCAATTTCAATAATTAAAAACTATCAAGTCTTCAATTTTCCTCCTGAATCTCTAAAACCATGCATTTATAATGTATTTAAAGAGAAGGCAGAGGTGAAGATGTTTTATTTTCCTTTATTTAACAGACAATAATAACCACTTAGTTCTTTAAAATGGTTTGAAAAACATTAAAGGAGTAAATATATATTATTAGGAAATATTTCAGAAAGCTCTGATGCAAAATGCCTAGAGTACAAGAGAAATGTTTCCATAAACTGAGCTAAAAAATTAAAGCTGAACTTCTAAGATCAAGACCTTTAAAAACATCTTTTGTTTCAGGTTTAATCAATTATGAAAATCCAGTTAATAATAGTGGCCTTTAAAAAAGATTCCACTGGCAGATATGTATTTTAATGTATTAGCAAAATTCTAACCTAAACTGGTATGGTTAACAGCCATAACAAAGTAAAATCAAGAGGAAAGAGAGCAACCTGGAATGAATTAACTCATTAAGAATAAAAAACAAGGGAAAAGCAGTGGAAATGCAGACACTTTCCAATGCTTGGGAGAGGGGGGGATTTTTGATCTCATAAAACCTTTTCCACTTTGGATGCACCCCAATATACTTTAGAAAGGAGTAAAATTTTTTTCAAAGTATAGAGTTCCTACTTGAGGAAGGGAGAGATAAGGTCAAGTGCATTCACTTTCTACAGAGTGTAAAAAACCACTCATACAAAATAAAGAGAAAACACCAACCAGGGCTTTATGGCACTACTCTGTCACATCATTTACTGGTTTGAATGGGTGAGTTAACACTATTTCAGGATCCTGAAGAGAGAAGAGACAGGAAGAAGGAAAAAAGGTAGAAGGAAATGGTATAAGAAGAGAACAAGAAAGAAAAAGAAAAGTAAAAGAACAAAAAATGTAATTTTTTAAAACTCTCAATAAAAAAAAATTTCTCCAGGAGGGAGACCCAAAAAAAAAAAAAAGAAAGAATTTAGCACTTTTTACAATTTCAATAATTCAGAAGTTGAATTTGAATGTTTTCCTTAAGAATTCTGAGATTATAATCTCATGCTTAAAACACAAAATATGGAAAATCATGTACAGGGTGTAAATTCATAAGCTAGAAGTATTTATGTTCCATTTCTATTCTGTTGTATTTTTTTGCTGGCACCATAACTGTTTTTTGATGATACAGCTTTGTAATGCAACTTTAAGTCCAGAATTGTGATGCCTCCAGCTTTGCTTTTCTTTTTCAAGATTACTTTGGCTATTCAGGGTATTCTGTGGTTCTATACAAATTTTAGGATTGCTTGTTCTAGCTCTATGAAAAATGCTGGTGGTATTTTTTTTTTAATATTTTACACTTCTTTATTTAAGAGAGAGTCTGGGGGGGCGAGGGGGGGGCAGTGCATGGGGAAAGAGCAGAAGCAGAGGCAGAAGCAGGCTCTTGCTGAGCAGAGTCTGACTTGGGGCTCTATCCCAGGACCCTGAAATCATGACCTGAGCTGAAGGCAGATGCTTAACTGACTGAGTCACCCATGCTGGTGGTATTGTGACAGACACTGCATTAAATGTATTGATTGCTTTGGGTAGTATAGACATTTTAATAGTGTTTGTTCTTCCAATCCATAAGCATGGGGTGTCTTTTCATTTCTTTGTGTCTCCTTCATTTTCTTTCATCAGTGTTATTTTATAGTTCTTGGAGTACGAGTCTTTTACCTCGTTGGTTAGGTTAATTCCTAGGCTTATTGCTTTTGGTACAACTGTGCTGCTTCATTATTAGTATATAAAAATGCAATGAATTTCTCAACATTTATATTGTATCCTTGTGACTTTATTGAATTCGTTGATCAGTTCTAGCAGTTTTTTCATGGAATCTTTGGGATTTTCTATACAAAGTATCACATCTATAAATATTGAGAGTTTGTCTTTTTCCTTGCCAATCTGGATGCCTTCTATTTCTTTTTGTTGTCTGATTGCTGACAATTGTTAAACTGTTAAATAACTGTGGTGAGAGGAGACATCCCTGTAATGTTCCTGACCATAGAGGAAAAGCTCTGTTTTTCTCCAATGAAGAAGACATTAGTTGTGGGTTTTTTGTATATGGCCTTTATTATGTTGACATATATGCCCTCTAGACCTACTTTGTTGAGGGTTTTTATCATGAATGGATGTTATACTTTATCAAATGCTTTCTCTCCATCTACTGAAATGATCATATGGTTCTTTTCTTTTATTAATGTGGTGTATCACATTGATTGATTTGTGAATACTGAACCACTGCTGCAACCCAGGAATAAATTCTACTTGACTGTGATAAATGATTTTTTAAAAATATATTGTTGTGTTCAGTTTGCTATTATTTTATTAAGAATTTCTGCAGCCATATTCATCAGGGATCTTGGCTTGCAGTTCTCTTTTTTAATGGAGTCTTTATCTAGTTTTGGTATCAGGGTAATGCTGGCCTCATAAAGAATTTGGAAGTTTTCCTCCCTTTTCTATTTTTTAGAATAGTTTAAGAAGAAAAAAAGAAATAACAAGCATGGTGGGAACAATTATACACTGTTAATGGGAATGAATTTGATACAGACACTACAGAAAACAGTATGAAGTTTCCTCAAAAAATTAAAAATCGAAGTACCATACAATTCAGGAACTCTGCTTCAGGGTATATATCCAAAGGAAACAAAATCACTATTTTGAAAAGACTATCTGTACCCCCATACTCAGTGCAGTATTATTTATAGTAGCCAAGACAGGAATCAACCTAAGTGTCCACTGATGTATGAATGAATAAAAAAGTCATACAGAATAGAATACTATTTACCCATTTAAAAAAAAAAGAAGAAATTCCTTCCATTTGTAACAATATGGACGAAGCTTGAGGGCATTATGCAAAATTAAATATGTCAGACAGAGAACGAGAAATACTATATGATCTCACCTATATGTGAAATATAAAAAACTGAACTCAGACCAACACAAAACAAATGGCTGGTTGCCAGGAGCAGAGAGAAGTGTGTGTGAAATGGGCAAAAGTGGTCAAAGAGTACAAACTTCCAATTATAAGATGAGTAAGTTCTCAGAATATACTACATAGTATGGTGACTAGGGTTAAGTATCGTTTTGTATGTTTGAAAATTGTTGAGAAGTAGGTTTTAAAAGTTCCCACAAATAGGGCAGCCCTGGTGGCGCAGCGGTTTGGTGCCGCCTGCAGCCTGGGGTGTGATCCTGGAGACCCAGGATCAAGTCCCACATCGGGCTCCCTGCATGGAGACTGCTTCTCCCTCTCCCTGTGTCTCTGCCTCTCTCTCTCTCTGTGTGTCTATGAATAAATAAATAAAATCTTTAAAAAAAAAATTCCCACAAATAAAAAAACAAATTGTATCCACATAAAAAAGTAAACAAAAACAAACCTACAAATACACTACAAAACAAAACAAAAAAATGCTAATATAGAAAACAAAGACAACAAAATCCTAGACCTATAAACTACTAAGAATTAAAATTGTAACAAATAACAAACCGAAATACCATCTGACAGTATTTGGTTCTATTTATTTATTTACTTTAGATACAACTGACATATAACATTATATTAGTTCCAGGTGTACACCATAATGATTTGACATATGTATAGTTACTGTAAAATGATCATAATATATCTAATTAACATCTATTACTACAAAATTACAAATAATTTTCTTCTTGTGATAAGAACTTTTAAGATCTACTCTCTTAGCAATTTTCAAATGTATGATAAAGTAATATTAACTATAGTCACCATGCTGTACATTATATCCCAGGATTTATTTTATAACTGGAAATTTTTACCTTTTGACTCCCTTTGTTCATTTCACCTGCTAACCACCACACTCCCCACCCTCTCTGGCAACCACCAATC